TTTAACTGATGTAAATAGCTGTGTACACGAACAAGAAAAAACAGAGTGATTCATTGGCCTCTTTGTGACTTCGAATGATTTTTGCAATTTCTGATGAGTTTTATTGATATATGCAACATTAACGGTTCTAATGATGATTCAAATGTACTACACTACGTGTTACTAGAGATGTATTAATTCCAATTTTAGTCTAACTGCGATCGAAACCGGTTAAAGATGTGAAGCTACTGTTATATAAACAGTTACCTTATCGGTTGTTGGGTGTGAGGAGTTGCGAATCTGTCCGAAACACGGACCCGTCAGGATCCAAAATTTAATTTATTTTCGGATCATTTAGCTTTGATTATTTCGTCAGAGCAAGTTTATTATAAGAAAATAACGATTTTTTTAATGAGGTTGGACAACAGGTATTTGGAGTCAAGGAATCTCTATGTGTAATCAAGTTCTCAAAAAGTCCATGCTGAAAATTAGCAGTTCGATCGATTTTAAGCGCAGAATCGAAATTGGAGCCAATGAATTCCGAGACTAAGATCAGTGAGCGGCTTACTATAAATTGATATAATTGTCGGTTGAAGCATAGGGACGCTAAGGATTATGGCAGTAAGTGCATGCAGAATACAGCGAATGCTGTTCTTTTCATATAGGTGGCATCTTTTACTGTGATGGTATTTGAAAATCCAATATCTTGCTAGTAATGTGCAAGAATGCAGTCATACGCATCAGGGATACACTCATTAAACTTGGTTAGTGTTAAAACAACTGATAAGCTCTACAGAATAGCTTTGATATTCTCTTAAAGTACGCTTAAGTTCAGAGGTTTCGATTATTCTCGTTGAGCTTTCAAAAAAGTTAAAGTAGTTTCATTGTGCTTAACCCTTTGAGGACGATGGGACACATGTTATCTCATCTATTTTCCACTTGCGAAAATGTTGATTCTTCATAAGGGTATCAGAATCTGTAAGATAAAAGGTCGTCCGATCTATCATCTCATGCATATACTTTTTCTATTTCTTTCTACTACTATACACTATCTTCATGATACGAGCCTCTCTTTTCTTGATGTATTATCATTAGGTTTTTATTTAATCATTTTGAGTTTAAAAAAAAAGTCATATAATATATATTTAAAATTTGTTCTTATTCATTGAAATAATAGTTTATCGATTATTTATAATAACTATTAATCGAAATAAAAAATAAAAATTTGATAAATTTAACTCTTGACTAACCACTAATTTCTTTTTTTCAAAAATATTTTATCCTTGTGATGATTCATTAGTCCTATGATTTATTTAAATCAACAAAGAAAATTATCAATCAACAGAAAACTAAAAGTATTTTTTATCTTTAAAAAAATAAAATTTACATCAATGCTAATTTAATTTTTCGTCAGATTCAATTCGATTATGACTATCGATGACACTTTAACTTTACGTTTAACTTAACATTGAAAAAAAAATCAAAAATAAAGAAAAAACTTTTTTCAACATTTGCTTTTTATTCATAGGAATTGATTTAGATAAATTTTCAAAGTTTTATCGAAGATTTTCAGAGTTGAAGAATCCAAATCTGAAGTCAATTCTTTCGAAATGTTCACTTTCCTTTTTTGTGACTAAAAAGATTTCTTTTGTAAAAAGTGAAACTGAAAAATTTGAAAAATCTATTATATGCAAATGTTGATAAAAATCTCTACTTTAATTTGAACTATTTTATCAAAATATTTTTAAATTTAAAGTTCCACCCTTAATCGTGACTAATTTAGTAAACATGACTTTTTTCGAATTGATAATAATTTATTCGTGATCAACAGTGATTTGATTATTTTGAAAATAAAATTTTTATTGAAATTATATTTATTAATCAATTTGATGATCTTTATTCATATACAAATCACCTTACAACTAGTTTTTATAGCAAACTATTACAACAAACACATTAATATGTTAAAATATTTACCGAAAATAAAACTCCTTTGATTATATTTATTCATAGACAATGGAGTTAAACTATATTATTGTTCTTTCTACTTCGTTTAATTCAAAGTTCAATAAAGTTACGATGTTTAATAATAATAATCCAAAGAGTTAAATATGATCTATATTTATCATCGATATTATCTTTATAATCAACGTTTTATTTACTTATTGAAATAACAAATATTATTTTTACAGCTTTCAACTCGATTGAATGTAATGTTATTTATCATAATAATACTTGATCAGTTCGAAAAATATCTCACAGAATGAAAAAAATTGTTCACTAATTTGAAGATTATAAATAATAGGTATATATATATATAAAGAGTGATAGACGAAAGAAAAAAGGCTCAAGTCATAAAAAGAAGATGATCAACTTTAATCTAGATAATAATTACACAACACAAAACGGATAGTCAAAAGTTAACACTGTTACATTTTTGACAGAGTTTTTTCAATTATATCGAAAGAGTTGACAGCTAGAAAGTTTGTTTATCCCATAAGAATGAGTTTTTTTTTATTGAATTCTCGTACTTCTTGGAAAATTTAATAATCGCGAAAGGTTATTACATAAAAAGATCTATTTTCTTCGATATTCGCTAGTATAATTCTTATTTTTTTATAAAAATATTTCTCCAAATGCGCAGAGACGAACAAGTCAAACGTTTTTCCATCACAACTCAAATCAATTGATAAGTTTTTATTAAAATTTTTTTTAATCAAGTCAAGTTAAATTCAATTTTAAGTGATTGTTTTTTTAAATATTCTATTCTTAGTGAAAATCTTCAATTATCAAAATTTTCATTTTTACCAAAAGAAAAATGATTTCATAGCAAAGTTTAACAATAACACAAAAAAAGTAGATGAAAATAACAGTCATTTATACAGATTTTCGTTACGGAAGGGCAGCAGAAATTTTCTCAGTTAAGATTATTTTAAAAATATGACAAAGATCAACAATGTAAAACTGATGCCCGTAATAGATAGTTAAATGAAAATTAAAAATAATCAATATTTAATTATTTTACATACTTTTAATTAGCACTGTTGATAGATACATATCAGTTTTATATATTCAATGATATACACTTATTAGAAGAATTTTACTAGATTAGTCAAACATATTGAATATAAGAGGGTCTATTGTTTCATTCTTAATTATATTATAAATATTCACTTTTTTGTTAGTGCATTGAGTTATTCATTTCAAAATAGTTATATACAATGAGAATATTCAACCATATTTCAGATTACTAAAACGTTATAGTTAAGTGACAATAAATAAGATTATTGATAGACTACTAAAAAATTCACAAGGATAAATGTCGATAAACAAACATTGATGTAAAAAGTGGTCGAAAAGTGTTTCAAATGATTATGAATACCATAGGAAATACTGTTCTGTTTCGGATAATAATAATATTAGAATAGAAATCAAACATAAATCAAGAGATGATACATAAGAAAAAAACGTTTTTTTTTTTCAAATTTTTCATTTAACATCTGTAAATCATAAACTATCTATGTATTCCATAGCATTCATAATAGTATCATAATATTATTCGACATAATAATCTACACAACGTTGAATCGCAATTGTTTTGACCTACTTCAATCTTGCAACTAAACCTCTATCTATTGCTTATCACTATTACTGATTGTTACAAATTCAGATAAATTGAATTATAAGAAAAACACAACAATGAACTATAAATACTGAGAGTCACCATTGATGAAAAATATCGCTTTTTTCCCTATACTTTTCTCGACCTTTTTCCAGCACACTGTAGGAATTCGTTTATTTTTGACAATATTATCTTCACTAATATTTCCTCCATATTTCTATTCAATGGAAACTTGTGGAAAAGCTATACTGATTTTATTCTTTCTGCAAGGTATTTCAATTTTTCTCGATGGTAAACACGATCTACACGAAGATTCAACCCGACTTTCACGCTAGACAAGAGACATTATGGCAGGATTTAGCGTCAAATCAAGTCAGACTCGATGTATCTTGCCCATTGTGCTGATAATAAGGTCACCACCTATGTGCATTCTCTCTATTGGTTCATTGATGGGTCAACATTCGATCACTATACAGTTAGACGTTCTCACTTAATAATCAATAGTCGTTGCTGAGGTACTCTATTCTCTTTTCTCACTTCTTTCTTCTAAATATTTCCTCTCTCGTATATAAGCTGGTCTTCTGTATGAAATGGACAGAACTTAGGAGATGAAGTAGTATCCCATGCAAATAATCGTTCGAGGGAAGAATCAAGTTTCGATATAAAAACGAAAGTTCATCAACTGTAGAGTAAGTTGGAAACAATGCAATAAAGTACAAAATATCCTTAGCGACAAATATCAAGAAAAATAAGTTATTTTCTGGAGAATATAATTCTATACCGGAAGGTATGTTACTCAGCCAGTTTCAGGAAAAGTTTTCTTAGTTAGGAAATTCAAAATATGATTTCCGATGCTAAAATCGAATTTTTTGAAGAAAAAAAAGTCAAATTGATAATAAGCGTAAAAAACTGTATCTCATAATGCATTGGTATCGCTTGACAATCCATAAAAAAATGAACATAATTCTCTTTCATAGAAATAATCATTAAAATGTTTATTTGTCTATTATGATTTGTATAATATTAGTTTTCTAAGATAATTATTAAAAAAAGTTTTTTTATCATCTATAAATGAAAATTTCTATGATGATATTTATCATCAATGAAAATAAAAAAATCTATTATAAAAGATTAGAATTAAATGATAAAACATAGTTTGACATTAATAATAAAATGTTTGTTAATCCTATTTAAATCGACTAAAAATAAAACTAAATGAAAATAGTAATGTTTCAAATGATTGTAAAAGTAAAGATTAGATTTTGTTTTTGATTGTTATTTTAATTCGTAGGTCATATTGAGATTAATAATTATTTATTTTTTGTTTTTAATCTAAGAATAAATAGGAAAGAAAAAATTGATCTATTGGTATAATATTTATTGAAATATTTATTTGATAATGTATCGTTTAATCTTAACATACATTAATATAATATTATTTATATATTTATTATTAGTTGGATCAATTGATAGTAGACGAACTCTTAGAAATTATATTGTATATAATCAATATTTATCACAATTTAGACAAAATCAATTTTCAGTTTATGATCAATCAGAAAAAAATTTACTTTGTCGAATTGAATCATCATCTGAATATTCATTTAATAGATTAAATAATCTTATTCTTTATCCATTTAATCAAACAATAGCTTCAATTAATAATCTTTGGTCACCATATAGTAATATATATATATTTATTTATTTAAGGAAAAATATTTTTTCATAAATATATTTCTAATAGTGTATCAAGCCCATATGAATATATTAGATGTTAAATTAAATAAATGGATGACTGGTCAAATATATCAAAGTTATAGTTCACAAGGATTTCAATTTAGAATTGAATATCGAAGAAAATATTATATTATGGAAAACAAAGTTGATTCTTTAATAACGGAAATTCGAGATGAGAAAAGATCAAATTATATTTTAACTCGTTTTTATCAAATATCAAATGATATAATATTTTCATCTTCATCTTCATCTTCAAAATATAAAATTCAAGTTTATACTAATGATTTACCTCATCCATTATATATGTTGGCACTTTATGCTTTCGATTCTATAAGATTAAATAGAAGAATCATATTTATTCCATAAACTAAAATTAATACTCAATTATGACAACTAAGGTAACTTTTTTTTTTTGAGATTTTTATTAAATAAATTATTTTTAACAAATATATTGCCTTATTGTTTATTTGACACCAATATGTATCAAATTTTAAAATAAAATCGAAAACATATATGCCTTTAACTAAATAACATAATTCATTCTAATCAGTTATTTTAATCATTCTTTATATATTAATATGAATTCAATCATCTATTTTGTCATCATTATATTATTATTTTCAGTTAACTTCTTCGAAGATATTATTCTGTAGAATACTATAGAGAGATATATTATATTGAGATTAAACTGGATATTATTTTTATAGGACACTACAAAAGTGTTTTAGTTCAGTTCTACTAAAGTAAAAATTTGAGTACTAGTATTATATTATTATGCTTAGACATATTTTTAGGATTATGTGCAAAAGTTTAGCGTTTCAAATCTTATGCATCTTTGGAGTTTTTCATTTCTTTCAGAGTAGTTACATACCATTATCGATATAACTTTTGAACGGTGACACAAACAATGTCGTATTATGATTTAACGTGTCAATACAATTTTTTAATCAATGGTTAAATTCAATGTAGGGCAACATTAAACTGTCTCACGGCAGTCTAAATCCAACTCATCTCTCTTATCGATGAATGAATAATCCAACGCTTTCGAAGTCTGTTTCGCAATGAGAGGGTTCAAAACTGACATTCAACATAGTATTTGACCACTCTCAAAAGAATGAAAATATTGCAAACATCCATAAGATTTGAAAGGTTAAAATTCTGCACATAATTCTAAATATGTCTAACCAATATAATATAATACTTCTACTAAATTTACGGCTTTTTTTGATTAAAAAAAACTCATCTTTATAATTGTCAAGTAAAATAATTATGGAAAATGCTTTCAATGTTTTTTGTCTTTTATAAATTAATAAAAAACTCAAGCAAAACAGACAGAAAATAAATCTGATGAAGATTCAATTATTGATCTTTGAAGAATCTAACGAATAAATTTGAATAATCTTTATCTTTGAAAATGTTACAGAAAATTTTGCTTAAACATTTTTTTCTATGAAAATACTTTTTTGATTAAAGAATAAATCCATAATAGATCGCTGATAATACTTAGGTTCAATCGAATTCTTATGAAAAATAATCATTGAATTTTTCGAAAAAAACTTTAATTCTTTATCGATTTTCATATTATGGTTTTATTTGAAGACAA